TGATGTACTGATAACACAGTAACATATTGTACTGATGTACTGATAACACAGTAACGTGCCCTGATATATTGATAACACAGTATTTGGGATTTAGGGTTAAGATWAAAGGTTCTGACACATGGTGCAACATTGCACGCAGCAGGAATGTTGCAGTGTGTGTCTACCCCAAACTTGTTACATGCAACATTGCATGCAACAAATCTGAAGTTGAATTGCGCCCTACTCTTGCAACACTGCACACAACAAATTTCATCATGTGAACATGGCTGCAACATTACATGAAACACCGGTCCATATAATTCCGACCAGTACAGGCTACGTTTCGTTTTTGAATGAATAGCGCCTTTGCTTAGCTATTTTGCGCGCCACTTGAGAAACTGAGGTCATTATTTACTTACAACTTGAGGGTGTTCCTTTCAAGCTTATCGTCCACGATCAAAACTGTCAATCAGCAAATTTCCGGTTGAGCATTACGTATATTAACCACCCAGCTCATGACTTCAAGGTAGTTCATTCTTGCAGTTCTGGACACGTGATGTTAGAGTGCTCACACTAAATCCGTGAAACAAATACTAGTTTTTAGCACTAAATAGTGATAATTAAGCAATAGAAAACAAAGGATTCTGCATGAAATAGTACTAATTAGTACTATTTAATGTTCACGGTTTTAGTGCGTGCACTCTATGTATTCTAAAACATTTTACCTATTTATAGACATTTACACGCCAAAATCTATCTAAAGTCTGATTAATTTGTAAAGTAGGATTGGTTTACATGTCCAATCAACGTTTTATGCAATCACTCACAAGACCTTAGCCGGCCTGTCGATCACTAAAAGTAATCCATGTAGCTCTTTTGATTATAGGAGTTTTTCGCTGAAAGTCCTTTTGTATGGGACTTTTCCAATCCTAGCCCTTTTGCCAAGGACTTGTCGATCTGCAAGACACTTGTACTTTTACATGTACTACATTCCGGCTGTGTTTTCACTAGGCCTTTTTACTTGTGTAAAATTCCTTTAGGTGTTTGTTTACCAGGCTAGTTTATGCAAAGTTTAGTTTAAATTATCAACTATTTTCACGAGAAAGTTTAAGAGCGACTGTCTGTAAGGATCGACCAAAATCGAATTTTCA